GTGGGAGGGCGGGTGGAGCAGGATGGGGTGGGAAGTAGGGAGAAAGGAAGGGAACTGAGGCATGGGATGTAAACTTCCTCTTGCTGAGAAAGTTCTCCCCTAGAGAAGACAAAAGGCAATCTGGCATTTTCAAGCAAATGACTCCTTGCATGTACAGTGCTTTAAAAAAAATAAAAAGGCCACAGAAATGTGGCAAGTAAATAACATTCCAGACATACTGCTCTTCACCGTTTTTTGGCTAAAACAAAACACAAGTAACTTCAGGTCTTGTAAACAGGTTCAACAGGCCTGCATCAAAAGGGTCCTCTGGCCAGAAACCCAGATAGCGTTACAAACAGGCTGTGTGGCCTACTCAGGGAGGATCCTCAAGCTAATGGTTGAGAAATTGCAGCAGACTGCTCAGAAAGAAAAGGTCCCCACTGTCTGGGGCAACCCACTTTATCTCAGGGTGGAAGCTGAACCAGATCCTGTTAATGCAAATATTGAAGTCTGGAAGGGCCTGTTTCTGGGGTGGTGTTTTTTCATTTTCCAACCTGATAATTTTTCCTCTCAAACAGTCTTTGTTGTTAACACCAGGCCTACTTTCCAAACCACAGGCACTTGAGAGATGCCACCAATGTAACCTTGGTGTATCTTGGTTGGACTCAGGACAAACCCTGGCTTGCCAGAATCCTTTCTTCCATGTTGGGGAGGGAGGGAAGAATACATTTCCCACTGTCCTTTGAGAAAGATTGAAGCTGAAATATCTTCCTGGGTATGAAGAAAAGGTGTTTCCCTTTATATAAATGGGCCTATTATCCATTGAAAGCATGACCTTCTCCTTGAAAAACAATTTTCCAGTTCAGACAAATCTCCCGACTGCTCAGTTTGCCCCCTAAAGTTGGGTTTTACCTGTGGGGTGGGCACTCTAGAGTCTCATTTCCTATGAAGAAAATGGTTTCTTTCTTAAGACAAAATTTAAAACATGGAATAAGGTTCTGATACCCATTCTAGTGGATTGTTAAGAAAATGAGAAATAAAATGATCAAAAGATTTTTCTTTAAAGAAGTTTCACCTCTTCTTTTGACAGTATATCTCAGAATCTCTCATTTAATACAATTAAAAAAAATTGCTTTTCTTAATGGTGAGTGAAGGGAAGTATAATGCCCTTAAATTCAAGGGGTAGCAGTAAATACTCCTTTACCAATGGAATATCTACTTCATGCCCACCTTCAACACAAAGTGAAAGTTTAGAATTTTCTACTTTACTTCTACCTTGACTTCGATTTGTGGCACTCACCGGGGCCCTCACTCATTCCCACATTCCCAGAACCTTATTCATGGTCCCAATCAGGCAGCAGCTCATCAGTCTTCACTCTGACAAGACCCATTTGAAAATGGGTTTTCTTTTCTCTTTTTTTTCTCTGAAAGGGCCTGTGTCAACTGCCTCTGTAGATGCCAAATTGTCACGATTCATCATCATTATTGAGAGGGAAGGGAAGAGAGTCACTTCAATGAGACCTTCACTCCTCTCTCCCTCTCTTTCTTACTACAGAGGCTATCCTTTCCCCCAAATAAGATGGACTGGAAAGTCACGCTTTTAACTCTGAAAAAGCACAACCACTCTGGCTACAGGTGGCCAAAGAGGAGGCAGGCCCATTCCCAGATCCAGGCCATGGGGCATCTGTCCCAGGAGACCACCAGCAGGGCTGCCGCCCCACAAAGACCACATAGCAACCTCTGTCTACTGTCTCACCCCTTAAGTCTAAAAATATCATCTGATCTGAAAACAGTTTCTCAAGACTGTTCCCCAAGCTATCTACCCACCCAGATTAGAGGGCTGTGTCCGTTAATTTAAAACATGCTTCTAGCAGAGGAGGAAGGAGTGCCCTCATTACTCTCAGGAGCAGCTCCAATCCTTCGGGGGGAATTCAATTTGGAACGGAAATGGAGAATTTCATCAGATCTTAAGTAGGGGCTGGTGTGTGATTTATTTCTGTTTTGTCCAGGGAGACGTGACCGGCACAGCCCATCTCACTGCTCTGGGAGAGGTACAGCACTTATCGACTACAGCTCCTGCTGCTGCCTCAGCGGGTTAGAGCTGCTGCTGCAGAACCAGGAGGGCAGGAAATTACTTTGGGTTAATGACCAGAGAAGCCTCAGGCCACCCCTCCCATTGTACTGGAGCAGGTCCCAGTTCCCCTCAGGGGTAGCAGATTCACTGTTTATAAGGCTCCTCAGAGGTACATCCAGGAAACAGACTTGGATTCATCAAGCTTGCACTTCTTGTGGGTTCAAGGTTTTTCACAAACTCAACAGCACATGGAGCCCAGTATCCCACTAGTGACAGTAAGGAAGGAGCCAGAAAGAGGAAAATGAGGGCTCTTTTCCCTTCAAAGTCAAACTGGAGCATTAGAAGGACCTTATAATCATGTGGAAGTGAGCTTAATTACTTGCTGATTTAATTTGGACAATTGAAAAGGAAACTTGTAGTGGCCTGGGGCAAACTGAAAGGGAGGATAAATTGTTCTACAAAGTGTAGTCTTTAAACTGAAGCCCAAGGAGGTGAGGGAATGTTCTTTGGGGAATTTTGGACTTTCTATAGCCTGAGGTAAAAACCAGTTCTAAAAAGTTGGTGGAATAAATTTACTACATCTGATCAACACAAGGATCTGGGTTCAGAAGAAGAGAGTTGAGGTTAGTTGGTATAAATTTCCCATTAAAAATTCTGAATAGTGGCCCTCCCAGGTGGCGCAGCGGGTTAAAGCACAGCACTAAGAAGCTTAAGCCACTTCCGCATGAGTTCGATTCCCACCTGCCCCGGAGGAGATCCACATGGCGCGGCAGACCTCTCCTGACCCGCCCGCTGCTCCCCTCAGCAGTGTACTTCGTCATCTCTCTTCTGCCCCCTTCTCTGTCTCTGGTGAATCTTCTTACCCTCCACATCTCTGGCCTGTACCCCAGTTCCATATGAATAAATAAACCTTAAAAAAAAAATCTGAATAGCAAATAGGCTGTAACACATCTACTAATTTAACTAAAAGTATTTTGATCTAAACTGCCAATATGATTACAACAGAGTGTGAATGAGGGAAGCCCCAGGGTCACATGCCAAAGAATTCTACAAAAACATATCTTTATTTTGCCTGAGTGATTGCAGTGGGCTAAGCACTAAATTTTACATGTCACCTCATCTGCTTTACCCCACATCCTTAGTAATAGATATTATTTTTATCCCCATTTTATAGATGACAAAAGGGAAGTACAGAGAGGTAAAGTGACTAGCCCAAAGTCACAGAGCTGGCAAGTAATGGAGTCATTGTATTCACACACTCTGGCCCCTGAACCCACTAAAACTCACTCTATCCAGGTCACTGTTTACATCTGTGACTTCTGGACTCACATCCAGCTGCAACACTCAAGCCCAGTACTGTCAGGACCACTGCTTTCCAGGGAGCTGCATCTTCATAGTCTACCCAAGGAATCACCAACTAGGACCTGTTTTCTAAATCTCTATCATAGCCAGAACCAGCCACAGGTCACCAGTCCTTTTGACTAGCAAAGCTCCAGCCTATCTCTTCTTGTTGAGAAGGAGGCTAAGAAAAGTAGGAAGAGGAAACAGGAGGGGGAGCATCTCTATTCCACTGCTGATGCCCCC